TTTATTCAAGCTAATACAAGTCAGCTCAGAAATGCCACGCAGATATCACTCCTATCCCTCTTCCTCTCCTTCCCCCTTCTGTCATTCAGCAGAGTAGAGGACTGCAGAGGACATTTGAAACATATAGATTTACCAAGTGGGGCTATAGTTTTTAGCTATACTTACTTACTGTGTACTTGCTGTATATTTACAGTATATTTGTGTGTTTTAACCCTTGATCAACCAGTTTTTTAAATACATGTATGTGTAACACATGCCAAACTTTAAATGTTTGAGATTATATGTAATGCATAATTTTTCTTAAGAATACACTGACTGAGTGTTGCTCTCTCAAGTCTTTAAACAGAGCTAGTAAAAATGTGAGTCTCACTTAGGAAGAAATATGCAGTGTCTGAATTGCAGTGATACAACAGTGCAAATTCTTCATTATGAAATTCATGACCTGCCAGTTATTGATTTAACTGCATTAAGGGTGATGCTGGTCTTAAAATGAATACAGTGAAGCCTCGTTAGTTAAATATTTAAATGTCTGCTTGCATGTAATGATAAAGGGGAAGGTGCTTTAGTAGCAGGAAATATAGAAGGTGCGGGGCTGAAACTATGATTGTACACCTATTTCCCTACTGACAAAAGTCGATATTGCTGCAGTACCCCTATTGAAACATTAGTACTACAACACATCTTACTTATTTCTTCGTTCATATGTACACACAATGCCACTAAGTGCCTCACTGTACCAGACAATTGGTTTTCCTATATTGCTTTTCATTTTGCTCAGTGTCTCTAGCTACATTTCTTATATGGGAACCTAAGGTGTGATTAATGGAGACATAAGAGCCCAGACCTGCTAGTTGGGTTTGTTCTGGGGTTTGGGGTTAAAGAAGATTCCCTCGGGGCCAGTGTCACGGTTCATTTAGTGGCGGAGTCTTTGCCAGCTTGCAGGGCGAGAGTGTGAGAATATGGGTGTGTACGTGTTTACTAAATTATGATCTGCTTGTGTATGTCATCGTTCATGTCCCTGTCAGAATCATGGAAATAAAACAGCTTCGACTCTTTGTGATGCTTTTAAAAGGCAAACCCTGGAGCTGCTCCACTGACAATAAATAGGACATTTTGTGGCCGCAATAACAGCAACCCGGCTAATTTTTTTCATGTGTGTTTTTTAGTTTGTGACTGTCAATTATAATGAAATAAAGCTCCTTTGGGACACAGAGCCACTCATTGTGAACAGAGGCTCTTCCGAATTCGGTTTGCTGATTACAAAACAGGTTAGCGCTCCAATTCCTCAGATTTCTGTTTCCGGGAAGACTGTTTCTCTTGCTCACAAATATTGATTGAACTATCAGAGATCATAGAAATAACCTGTGTGCATTCTATTTCAGGGTGAAAACTTTAATGTTTTCCAGGGTTGAACCTGCCACTAGTTACCAGGCATAACCAGAGGGAGAAAGACAGCATGCAGAGAGTAGGAGAAAGACAGATAATTCAAGAGTCAGATGAAAGTAGATAGATGATGGAGTGTAGATACTGGTACAGACAATTTTCTTTCCTTACCCCCTTCCTCCTTCTCCTTCCTGCCTGTACTCTCCCTCCCACCCTTATTCCCTCAGTTCTTTGCCTAATAAGCAGCGTTCCTGCGAGCTGATGCAAGGCGTAGGAAACAGAACAGGCGTTCTGGGACTGCTGGAAATATTCCCACATGAGGCATAACATGATAAAGACTTATTATCTCACTAAGCTGCTGTAAACACAGATGCACACATAAAAACACACTGTACACAACTCCCTCTCTCACACACAAACACACACACACACACATTTGCAGAAAGTGAAAATGGTCCGGCTTTACGCTTCTGACGAGCTGTGACCAGGAGGAATCTGACAGAGCCAATCCCTCCAACAAAGCCTGAGAGTCAGCCGTTGTGAGCCAGCTCACTGGGCATTTGGCTCGGCTTGTTTGAACTCCACACACCCAGAGAAGTGGGAAGGAATGGAGGGAGAGTTGATTTCTGATTATTATTAGTGCAAAAAAATTTTGGGAACATCTGAACAAGCTACGTGTCGAAACAGGACTCATCCCAGCTCCTCTCCGCTCATCAATCACACCAGACACACACACACACACACATAAACACATGCACCTAGAATTTGCTGTGAACTAATCCATTACAGTACAAAGGTAGGTGTCAGCCCAAACACACACACACACGTATACACCAGAGTCATCAGAAACATGTTGAGTCCCATTTCCCTTCTTCTCTTCTCCATCCCAATTAAAAGGCAAAGGAGGCCTTTTATTTCCCTCTCCTCCAAACACATTCTTTATCTCGTCTGATGTGCGCTCCTCCCTCCCTCGCTCGGTCCCCTCGGGGTAGTGGGAATGTCTCTCCCAACACACTCTCAGGTCAGAGGTTCAGGTGGAGGGGGTCTGAGCATGTAGAGAGAGTGAGAATGAGACACACAGAAAGAGTGAGTAGCGGGTTGAGGCAGGCCTCTGCACGGGCAGCTCTTCTTTGCTGCCAGAAACACTTAAACTTAAAGCAATGTGTGTGTGTATCATAGCCCTAATCAGAGACTTCAGGGTAGATTTATGCCCATGCCTTTTTCCCGACCTCCATTACACCAGCTTATATACACCCATTACAGGATATGACAGAGTACACACCCTTTAGACGAGCATACCACACTGCCTGTGTGTGTGTGTGTGTGAGTGAAAGAGAGGGCATGCGCTCCCGTCTTTACACTCCCCACTTTCCCATTAGGTCCTTGTCCACCTGCGAGCTCTATCTCTCTGTCTGTCTTTATCTCTCTTCCCCTCATTGCTAATAAGGTCAATGAGGAAGAGTAAGAAGCAGATGGGTTTACAGTACATTACAGCACAGTGCAGTATAGTGTGGGCTAGATAGCTGGCCAGTGATTCATGCTTAGTGAGACGTGTGATGATGTGAGGAGTTTCTACTGCAGTGCAAAGTCAGTGGACTGTGAGGCGGGATCTGTTGATCACTCTGCACTATGCCTTGCTTCATAATATTACCTCAGGGAGCAATTTGACCTAGCAGGGGTCTGGACGAAGGCGGGAGGAGATGGAAGGATGGATGAAATGAAGAAGGGAGGAAGTGTTGGGATGAGAAATGAGGTTGGAGATTAAGTGGCTAGCTTTAAATGTCACAATAACGCTCTCCTTCTCAGTCTTAACTTTACAGGCGGATGGGTGCCTGGAGGAAGACAGAAAAGAGTAAGTGGGGAGGAGAAATACCGCAGTGTGATTTGTGGTTCTGCTTGTTAGAGAGAAGTCCTGAACTGTAGCTTTAAAGGTTTACACAAATAAAAAAAGACATTGGACAAAAACAATCTCCTCACGAGTTCCACACCTGTCAACTTTCCTTCTCAAAAAAGCTTTTCTCCTTTGCCCTCAGTGGTATCGGGCTATACAGATTTTCTATTTTATGTGCTGAGGCCTTGAGAAGTATGCCTCTGAAACTTCTTCTCATCCCAGTACAATGATAGTGAATAAAATTTTGTTTGTACTACTCAAGGCTTTGAAAAATTCCATTTGGAAAACTCAGTAACACTGGACAATCCAAAGACCTGCTGAGGAGTAACCAGGGGGATTTTTTGGGAAGGGAAAAAACATGGCTATTAAAATGTCACAAACAAAATTGGATTTATCTCCATTGTATTGAGGCAACAGCAGAAAATTCAGTAGCAGGTAACTTCAAACCTTGGCAAAAATAAAACCTAACTATCTACTATACATGGCAAGGCACCACTCATGAGAGAATACATGTTGGGGGATGAACTGACCCTTTAACTAGCACACTCACCAGCCCGTGCACCTGCACACACTTGTATCCCACACACACAAACATGCTCAGGTCCCTGTCCCTCGGCGAGCATCTGGCAGCATTCCATTAACAGAGCCACCAGCGCTCTCTCACACCCTCACCTGCTGTCAGAGTCTCAGAGAAAAAAATATTCACACACACACACACACAGAGGATCACCTGCTATTGCCTCAGAGGAAAAGAAAAGTTAGATTCTCTCATGAAATGCCTTTTATTGTTTCCCCAGAAGGCATGGGTTGTAGTATGCCTCTGAAAAACGTGCACACACACAGACACACACAGTCACACACAGACAACGGGTACAATGCCTCGATGGCGTTTTGTGTACCCACTCTCGGTTGCTGAAATAAAACCATTAGAACTTTCCCCTTAAAAACTACGCGCCTGTGTGTGTGTTAATTTCTAAAACTGGATGAGGCAGAAAGACGAGATTGAGCTCGTCATTAGGAGTTCACAGCCTGCGTGCTTGTGTGAAGGTTTGTTTTGTTTTGTATTAGCTGCCTTGTGTGTGACTCCGTGTCTCCTCTCTCCCACGCTCAGGCTCCTAACGATGGCAAATGCGCCTGTGTGTTTGCGAGGCGTTGTTTCTCAAAAACAACAACACATCTAGGAACGGTTCGTTTTGTCGGGTTTTGTGGAAGGAACACGCTCTAATTAGAGAGGCCCTATGAAGGTGCATCAAACAGATCTTTCTCAAAGATCCAACCTGCTCATGGCTCTCACACAGCGCACACATGCCACCTCTGATTATTTGAGAAACGTCTGTGTTATTTAACTATATAGCCGAGTATTAACAGCCTTGTCAGTTCAGATTTGCTGCACGTCTGATCCTAATCCATGCGTACGCTCCTAGACGCACATTTACATGAAGACAAAAAAGTGTCTGCTTCAGGTGTTGCTTTGTGGCCACTTGGGCATGTTTGTGTGTGGGTGGTTCATGACCAAAAGCCCTTTTTCGCAAAGTACACGTGCACACAGGCACATGCACATAAAACACACACAATTCACTTCTCTATCTCTGCATGTGTTTATTTTAGTTTCCTGCCTTGTTTGTTCGCTCAGATGGAAACAGGCTTTCAGCTCAAACTGCCCCAGCCACTTTTGTTCAATCTGTGTGTTGTCTTGCCCTTCCACCCCCCCCCCCCTGCCTGTCAGGTGCCAGTGATGATGGTGGAATCAGCCTCTGAGACCATTCGAACGACACCGTCCAACCAGAACGGAGTCAGCAGCCTCAGCAGCCAATCAGATGGTGGGGGAGGAAGAGAGGGCGGGTCTAACGGAGACACCAACGGAGAGATCAGCCCAGTCGACTTACTGCACCTGCAACAGCAACAGGTGTGTGCGTGTGTGTGTGTGTACATGTCTTTAGGCCTGTGTATGTGGTTGACACTATGTTTACACATCTACCTGTGTATATGTGCTCATGAGACTTGTTTTGCAACAACTCCAACTTGCGCAACTCTGTGTACGGTACATTGTCTAGAACAGCACGTACAGACCAGGACGTTATATAATGCACAGATGTAACAACACGTAGTCGGCCTAGAGTTTGGTAATTGTCAGCTTTGCATATGCGAACGGTGAAAAGCTCTGACAGGTTGGTTTGCCGGTGCTTTAATTATCTATTGTTCATAATGTGCCAACTAATTCCATTAGGACAAAGTTCACCATCATAATTCATACACACAAGGTTCCCACTGATATATTATTACACATTGCAGGCTGAGGAAAAAATTGGAAGACATACCTGCTATTTAAGCCCTGCCTAGGTGAGAGAAGCCATTTTGTCCTGTTGCGGGTCAGACATATGGTCAAACATTCTCACAATGGCATGCAAACACACACTCGATGTACGACTCCGACTCTGAAGGAGCGTGCGTGAGAGAGCCTGTTCTATTTTTTCACTGATCCATGAAGTGGTGTTTGTGTGTGTTTGACACGTCAGCGTGTAGCGTCTCCACTTATGCTATTTATCTTGCTTCCTGTGCGTCAGTCCCCACTCCATACACACACTCATCCCTCTATATGCACACACACACACACAGGCCACTGTGTGAAATTGAACCTTCCCGGAACTTCTTGGATGAAATTCTACATTTTTATTTCTCATACCCCCAGAAATCCACATAGCTCTTTTCTGATTGCTCTCTTAAGGGCCCGAGCCTTCACACATATTACACACACACACACACACACACACACACACACACACACTCACACTCACACAGAGCATTTTCAAATGTTTTTTCATCCAGAGGTCTCTAGATTAGTCATTTGTCCATAACTGCACAAGAATGTCCGCTGAGTGTTGTCATCTTATGATGGAAACTCACTGATTCATATTTTTCAGTCGCTGATGTGGCATTTGCTGCAGTTGATGAAGAGATTACGAGAGAAGAAATTCTCCTAATTATGTATAAGCATGTCAATATTTATAGCTGCCTCTCTCTTGTTCTGTGTGTGTGGATGTTTGCATGTGTGTGTTATGTTGTGTCCGTCCATCTCAGAAGGTCAGTGTGGGTTCTGGGCTCTCCGACACCAGCTGAGTTTTTGGTTGAGGAAACCCAGGGGGGAGGGAAAAATCAGGGTTTCCTACATGCTGCTAAAATTATTCCCCCTAATTATAATGATGGAGCCTTAGGTGAATGAAGAACACTAAAGGCCCTTCACTCCTGTCCTGCTCTCCCTCCTCCTTCCTCTGACTGCATCCTCACCCTGCTTCCTCAGCAACCTTCATCCGAGGACACACACTCACAGCCGTGCACGAATGCACACACATAAACACCAAACCTGTAGCTCACACAAAGCAGGTCTTTATTCTCTCGGACGTGTCTCCGCTCTCTATGTTTTTGCACCTGTGTGTGTGTGTGTGTTTGTGTGTGTGTGTGTGTGTGTGTGTGAGCACGCTGGTATTTCCTCTCTTGAGCGGGTTACCAACCATAAACATACCTCCCTCTCTCTTTCCATCGCTTTCTCTTCCTTTCTCTTTCACTGTACTTCTTTTTCTTTCTATTCGCCGCGGACCATGAAAGACAAGCACAACCTTTCCTCCAGATACCAACCCTCACCTCGCAAAAAATGTTACATTTTTGTAGCAATTTAGATTTCTATTTAGAGCTTTCTGTTAAGCTAAATTTGCACAGATTGAAACGGTTTCAGTTGTCAGGAGGTGTGTCCCTCCTGTCCTATGGATACTTGTTTGCTTTCTGCCACTATGGCTGTTTTACTGTACAGTGGAATGGTAAGTGAGCATATGATAAAGTATATGATTGATTCTTGATATATTTCCTCTGCACTGACTATACATACTATGTTGTAATAAAATATAGATGACTCTCTATAAGAATAACACCTCCTCCTCACCCTCCCTCACCCCCTGGATAAGATGGGTGTTCTGTGCCAGTGAGCACTGCTGAGTGGCTGCACTGATATCAAAACCAGATATTTTTCTTCATTCATCTCATTCTTTTTTTCAATCTTTTCTTCTCTGTTCACACCATTTAAATAAAAAAAACACAATCTACATTTATTTATTGTGAATTCAAGGCCTTTAAAAAGTATTAAAATATATACACTTTTGTGAGGTTAGAGGTGTTATATAATATATATATATATTGTGTGTCCCTGCAGAACAGGGTTTGTAACTTGTAACACAAATTGTCCCCTAAAAATTTGTGTCCTCTTTTTCATACTGACCATTTGTAGTTTCACTTGCATTACTTAAGTTCAAATGAAAGAAAGACCACTTTTGTTTAGTTTTTGTTTAAAATTAGTCTAAACATACATGTCAGTTAAATTTTAAAATGCCCTGGACATCATACATCTCCTTCTTTGAAACCTGCAAATATGTTCTCTGTCCATAAGATCTTTGCCTTTTTTGTCCCTTGTTCCATCACAAGACTTGATTTATTTGAGCTTTGGTGTATTAGTTCTGGGTGGCCATAAAGGCTGTATTTTTAGCTTGTGCCCACCGCTCATAAAATCAATATAGTCTGATACAGACAGCCTCTATACTGACACTGGTTACCTGACTGTATTGTATAAGAACCTGCTCTCATGCTTTAACCTGAAAGTCTTGGATATACCTCCTCCTCCTCCTCCTCTTGTTCCTTTCTCTTCCACGCTTGAGTCTCTCACCTGAAGGTGTAGTGCCAGACTAGTGTTGGTGCTTAAACACCATGCCAGTGCGCACTGGAGCAGAAAAGACACACACAACGAACTCCTGACAGCGTGGTGTTGTCAGAATACAAAGCCATCTTTTCCTTGGGCCCCTTGGGAACCTGAGAGAAATCACAGATATCTCCAGCCGTCAAACTCCTCCACTGGCCTCTCTCTGTCTTCTGTCTCTCCCACGGTGTCGCCATCTTTCTCTGACTAATTTTCTTTGGCATAGATAGATAGATAGATAGATAGATAGATAGATAGATAGATAGATAGATAGATAGATAGATAGATGGGGAAGTGGGTGAGCGGAAAGGAGGGATTGGGGAGATTTTAGGAATTTAGGTAAAAGGAGGAGCAAAGAGGCAGCACATTGTGGTGGGGTGGGGGGCATTGGTGGGCTGGAGAAGAGGAATAGAGGGATAAGGGAGGGTGTAACGCTGAGACGTGTCAGAAAAGGGCGCCTGGGCCTCCCTGTGGAATGTGGCCTGTCTGCCTCCCCAGAAAGAACTGAGCAGGAGAGAGGGAAGAAAGAGGGAAGAAAGGGGAAGAGGGGGCGAAGACCAGTTCTGCCCCATCATCAAGGGGAAGAGAGGAGGGAGGGAGGAGAGGAAAGGAAAACAAAGAGCGGAGTTACAGGGCGAGAGGCAGGAGAGGTGGAAAAGTGAGAGTGCAGCAGAGAGTGTATGGCACTTTGTTGAGGTGCCGGGCACGGGTGTAGACATGAAATGATGCATAGCAGAGGAGAAATGTAAGCAGGATAAATCCTAACAAATCTCAAAGTGTGTGTGTGTGTGTGTGTGTGTGTGTGTGTGTGTGTGTGGTGTGTGTGTGTGTGTGTGTGTGTGTGTGGCTGAGTGGAGGTTGCTCTGACGAGAACCAGGTGTCTTCAGTTCTTCCCTTTTCTTTACGTCTCTCACCCCCCACCTTTTTTTTTTTGCAGATGTGGGTCCGCACTTTGAGCACCGTCACTTCCCCTCTCTCCCGTATATCTCTCATCCTTTTCCCTCTGCATCAGTTAATGGTTTCTGGTGTTTCATCAGCTACAGTAGTCGTGGCTGGTAATGACGGGAAGAGAGGAGAGGGGAAAGTAGGAGGGACAGGAAAGAGAGAGATGTGGTGGCAAAAAGGTGCCATTTCCTCTTAGGAGTGGCTCTCAACCAGCCAGAGAGGGGTTTCCCTCTTTCTCTCTGTCTTGCTTTCTCTCCTGCCCTTAACTCACTCTGCAAATAAAAAGTGAGAGGCAGATTGTTGCGTGGTCTCCCTCCTTCTCCAAGGGTTTTAAAGCAACATTGGTTGAGAAAAAGGCAGTTTTAGAAATTGGTTTGGAGCTTCGATCCCTGCTCCCATTTGTCATAATCTATTTTTTCCTCAGTGCTTCCCTCTTTTTTCTCTCTCTCAAATGCACACACACATACTGACAATCTTTGTTTCTCTCCCTCTCTCATACACACACTCAGGCCGTTACACACATGCACAGAGCTGATGTGAGTTAATGAAGGGTGTAATTAAGGAGCCACAGTGATGACTGGAGATCAGGGGGAACCGATACAGATCTCAGATATACACAAACACTGATGAAAGATAGCGACTCTGTGTGAAAGCGCATGTGCAAGAGTGTGCATTTGGGTTTGATGCCGGCAGTGCTTTGCGGATAGATGTATGAGACTATGAGTATGTTAGCAGACGGTGAGAGATGCTGGATGATTCGTGTAATGTATGGCTTCCTGTTAGATTAGCTAGACTCAGTAATTACGGCCTGTATGGATGGAGGTGGGGAGGTTTTGACAAATATGTGATTCTACAGCTCTGGTTGCTAGGCTTTGCTAAATTATGGGGAGATGATTGGTCACTGGGACAGTTATGTCCTGTTTGACCTCCAGCTCTCGACTAGAGTTCACTTTCAGGTCAGGAGTGCAGAGGAGACAGAGGTGAAGGGGTGGCTAGAGAAATGGAGGAGGAGGTGAGGAAAACAGACATTTTCAGAGCCATTTTCTAGTTTGTCAGCGAAGGGGGATTTAAATTAATTACATAATGCTTGCGTTGTGCGCATCTGCATGACAGGTTGTATCCCATGTGTGTCTGTGTCTGTCATTTTTTTGTACGTCTGTGTGCTTGCATAACCCGTGTGTGTGCATGTGTCCGTTTGTCGTGTGTGCGGGCCAGTAAATCAG